GCTTCTATTTCAGCTACTGAAATGGGGGAATAACATTTATCAAGATACCACTGAACAAGGGTGACATTAATATACTCTGCTTATTTCAATTTATTTAATTTTATGCAATTATCTACTCTAGACCATCACTTTTTGCCATTAGGTCAGGGCCTACTCTTAGGCTAATTTTATGTTGAACATTATGAATTACAGAGTGTGCAGTTGCTTCTCCAGCAATTGAAAATTAATGTATTGTTTTAATCTATTGAAACCTGAAGAGAATAGTTCTTCCTATTTCTACTCTTTACTTCAGACAAGAATGTATGACATATTCCAGAGAGTAGGCCAAACTTGTTCCCTCAATAAAGTGTCATAGTCTGCACTCTGAAACAGGGATAGGGCCAGGACTAAAGAAAAGTATGATTTAAAAGTTAATATAATTCAATGAAATGTGGTTAGCATTAGTTTTCACATTTATCATTTTTAGCTATTTCTTCTTCTTCTTTTGCCATATCTGTCATCGGACAATCATGTTGATGATCCTATTTTTATCAACAACCACATGAAAAGCAGCTATTGAGTTTTGTCCAAACCAGTTCCTTAGATTTTGAAGCCATGATGTTATTCTTCTGCCTGGATTTCATTTGCCTTCCATCTTTCATTGGAGGATTAAGTGAAGTATGCTGTATTTTAGCTATTTGTCAATTTAAAAACTACAATTTTGCACAGCATTTGACGGAGATTTGGATGCCATACTGAATGAGAATGTCAGTCCTTTGAGATAGTCCAGACAAGAACCACCAAACATGAACTACCTCTACCTTTATTGTAAGGTTACAGTAAAAGAATCATAAAAGTACATCTGTGCCCCCTTTGCCTTTATAGTCCAAGACATTAGGGAGACATTGCCACGGTCTCCATTCTTCTGCCTCTTATCTGGCCATTGCCTGGTTTAGTTTAGTTTAGTTTATTTGATTTGTATACCGCCCTACTCCCGAAGGACTCAGGGTGGTGAACAGCCAAGCAATAAAATACATAAATACACAAAATTTAAAACCAGATAAAATCAAATTAAATCATTTTGGCCCAGCCAGATTAAAACACCCCAATAATTTAAAAACAGATTAAAATTTACATATTAAAAGAGGGAGGAGATTAGGCCAAGCCCGCTTGATGGAATAAAAAAGTCTTCACAGCACGGCGGAAGGTGCGCAGATCCGGAATCCTCCGTATCTCTGGGGGGAGCTCATTCCAGACGGTAGGTGCCCCCACAGAGAAGGCTCTCCCCCTAGGGGTCGCCAGCCGACACTGTTTGGCTGACGGCACCCGGAGGAGTCCCTCTCTATGAGAGCGTACTGGCCGGTGGGAGGCTATTGGTGGTAGTAGGCGGTCCCGTAGATAACCAGGTCCTAAGCCATGGAGCGCTTTGAAGGTGGTAACCAAAACCTTGAAGCGCACCTGGAAGACCACCGGGAGCCAGTGCAGCTCGCACAGGAGAGGTGTCACATGGGAGCGCCATGACGCTCCCATTACCACCCGCGCGGCCGCACTCTGCGCCAGTTGGAGCCTCCGGGTGCTCCTCAAGGGGAGCCCCATGTAGAGAGCATTATAATAGTCCAGGCGGGAGGTGACGAGGGCATGAGTGACCGTGCGTAACGAGTCCCGATCCAGAAAGGGACGCAACTGGCGAATCAGGGGAACCTGATAAAAAATCCTCCTGGTCATGGCCGTCAGGTGCTCTTCTAAAGACAGCCGTGAATCCAGGAGGACGCCCAAGTTGCGAGCCCTCTCCGTGGGGGCCAGTGATTCACCCCCAATAGTCAGTGATGGCGTCAACTGACTATATCGGGACGTCGGAAACCACAGCCACTCGGTCTTGGATGGGTTTGTGGGTCATCTTACTTTTCTTCCTGTCTCTTAAGGATATTCTTACAGACCATTATGGAGTGCAGAAGTAAAAAAGGCCGAAGATAGGTATGCATAAAACCTATATGTAATTGATTTGAAATATCCTATAGATAAGGGACGTGATGGCTCAGTGGCTAAGACACTGAGCTTGTCGATCGGAAGGTCAGCAGTTCAGCGGTTCGAATCTCTAGTGCCACGTAATGGGGTGAGCTCCCGTTACTTGTCCCAGCTTCTGCCAACCTAGCAGTTTGAAAGCATGTAAGAAATGCAAGTAGAAAAATAGGGACCGCCTTTGATGGAAAGGTAACTGTGTTCCATGCGCCTCTGGCATTTAGTCATGCCAGCCACATGAACACAAAGACGTCTTTCAGACAGTGCCGGCTCCTTGACTTTGAAATGGAGATGAGAACCATCCCCTAGAGTTGTGAATAACTAGCACATATGTGCAAGAGGAACCTATACCTTTACCTTTATAGATAGTGAAAGAATTTGAAAGAATTCCTATAATAGCAATAGAAAATCAATACATTTTACCATGGTATGTGGTTAACATCCAGTGTGTGTAAGTTCAGAGGGTAATTATTGGTAATAGTTCCACGGCTCTAATAATTTCTTCTTGTGATTTACTTTTTTATTGTCCTCCACCAGTACTTTTAGCACTTTCCTTGCAAATAGTTTGCATGGCAATCTTCAAAACCAAAAAAAACAAACAAAAAAAAAAACCAACCCAAAACCTAAGACTGATGGCTTAAAGGGAAAAAAGGAAATTTCATTTTATGCTGATCTCTTCTAAAATCTTAAACTGAGATGGGAACTAATGAATTGTGAAATTATATTATCAGACTGAGATACATTTTTTCCATCAGTTGCATATCCCAGGATATTCACCTTTGGAATCATCAACAATATGGAAACAGAGATAACCTTGCTATCATTTTTTTCCTGCTTTTAGAGATTTTCTGTACAACTTCAAGTAAATCATTTCCATTTTTGCTCTGGTTTCATAATAATTCATTATGAAATATAAATTACCTCTTCTCCAACCTCTATATCACCAAATCCCAAAAGGACACAAACAGGAAATAAAAGCATTTTATTTTTCTGGACACTAGGATATGGATCTGTGGGAGGAGTCCAGAAGGGATATATAAAACTTTTTTTGCTCTCAGAACTTCTTTCCGTCTTCTTTTTTAAGGAAAAATGAAGAAAAGGCTGCTTTGACAATAATTGTTTGCTACATTTCTGATAAACTGGCAAGCTCTGCTATTCACCAGGCATCTCCTACTCTGCTGTTTTCCAATGAGAGGCCCCCACCTCATGCCTGACTGACTCCTCTCTTGATTTATAGTAATTAGGTGCCTCACAGTCAGGCCAGAAGTAAACCTCAGCTTGCTCATTTTCCCAGAGAAGACAGGCACCGTTTGTATGGCATTATCATGGCTGACATTTGTTTACTTACAGGTGTCACATTGGGATCCCAGATGGTAAAGCAGCACCATTTGCTTGTGGCACCTTTCCCCATTTTTCCTATCGTCTACAAGTTTAAGTTCTTTGCAGCAAAAGTGACCTGAATGGGAACGCTTCAAATGACTTTTTTTTTTTTTAACATAATCACAAGCCTATCACCATAGGAGTACAACTAATACCCTCATCTCTCTCTTGAAATCTTTAATGTAACAGAAGGAGGGGGGCATTTGAAGGAGTATGTTTTAGTTCAAGTTTGTGATTTGAGTGCTGTCTCAAACTTGAATTTCAAAACTATTACAGAGTACTAGCAGGATTACTAGACCTTTTATAAGACACTAATCCTGCCAAATTTTGTTTGGTTGCTTACAAGGTTTACAACTATTTATTTTTGAAAAATGGATATCAGGATGTTATCATGACATATAGAATTACAGAAATGGCAAGACACAGAAAAAGAAGTTTCATATCTAGCCATGCCAGCTCATCCTAGAAGGAGTTTGGCCTGACACTCATTTACTTATTGTCAAGAGATTTATATTTGATTTAATCAGGTAGAAAGGTCAATCTGGATCTATATTTGGAGTTTGTTAGAACTCTCCACTGTGTAGCCAAACCAACAGAAAAATATAACATACAATGAATACAAGAGAGTGCAAGTTAAGATATGCAGAAATTGAAACCTGAAAAAGTGAATGAAGTTGAAAATAATTTTAGCCTTGCTACCCCAAAAAGCTTTGATAGGCAAAGAGTTTAATGAAACATTAAAGTGATTGGCTACTCATACCCATCACAATCTCAATCTCTAAAGAAGGAATTGAAGTTGCTGCATTGTATATCATCTTTTATAACCCTAGAAGCTGTGAAAAAGCTATCAAATCTGTGAAGTGTTTTGAGAGAATACAAAGTACTTTGAAGCCACTTAATTGTATTGCTTTGGAGCAGATCTCCGCTTCAACTGTGAATCTGCTTCATGTGGTACTTGTGTACAAGCTCCATTAAATCAACATTCCTTCAAAGCCTTGCCCATTTCCATTCCTCATTACATCAAACGATCTGAGCAAATGCTGCAATTGTAATGAGCCAACAGAGATTTTGAATCCTGGTTGAATGGTGCCAATGGCTGTTTCCTCAGGCTTATAAAACCACTGGAAGGACCATTGCATCTCTCCTCTCTTCTAAGAACATGAAAGAACAAATATGAGTTTGAAAGTGGGTGTGGCAATGTCAACCAATTGTATGATGATAGCAATCTCTCAAAATCTAACCATTTTGCATTAGAAACAGGTATGGATATTTTCTTTTCTACTCCAGTTCCACTGGCAAATAACCCAAGGAAACAAAGAATCTCATTAAGACCAATTTATTTATGTAGCAACTGCTACAGACAGGATAAAAAATATTTTTACTAGCATATTGACAACTGTCATGGCTGTTGAAAAATATACTGACATTTCACATTTGCCAGGAAATAAGGAAGGTCACTGGTGCTAGTATCCCCTACTGCCTAAGAAGGTTACTATCACAATTAAGAAACAAAGCAGTCCTGTAAAAAAGAACTTCAAGGAGCTTGCTTTGCTCTTCTGTAATAGAAATAATACCATTTTATTTAATAACTAATTGCTGTGTGCAAAACATCCATACTTTACCTTGAGGAGGCATTTTCCACAATAGAGACCACTTGGTTTGCTTCACAGAGGTGACACAAATATGCTCAACGAGCATTTCAATTTGCTCCAAGGCCTTGTCTGGAAATTGTAAAGTTGGAAGAGGTTTTGGTATATGCATTCTGCATTTATAGCAGCTTTTCTTCTAAAGTGAAGGACAAGATAGAACATTGATTTGCTGAGGAAATTTGAAGGAGAGTGTTGTACAATCTTGATCAAAGCAAAACACCCATTCAAAACTTTCCACAGATCTAATAATTAATTTCCACATTTGCTTCTCTCTTCTTTCTCTCTTTCCCCCCAAATCTGCTCTCCTTTTATAATAAGACTTTTAATTACACAGTTAGGGTTAGGGACTGACTTATTGCTAATTTCTGTTTCGTGGGAGTTTTAGGTAAACAGTGGAACAAAAATGCCTGAAACAATTAAAATATACCATATGCAAAAAACGGCTTTGAAGATGCTTTTCACCATACTGTGAGAGTCATTTAGTAAAACCTACAACCTCATCTTGCTTAAAATACTTATCATTTTCAATTATGAGGAATATGTTTGTTCACCCTAAAATTTTTCCAGACAAGTTTTATTTATAACAAAGTAAATATTTGAATACCCAAGAAGACTAAATAACTAACATTACAAACAATCAATTATATTTCTGCAGACAGTACAGAGACTAGAGTTTCTAATTCAATAGATAGCATTATAGCTCATTATCCTTTCCCAATTTTGCCTTTTAAAGGTTCAAGATACTGCTTAGATGGTGAAACATTTCTATCTGCTTTTTGTCAGGTGAAAACTGCTGAAAGGAAAATGGTGGAATTTTTAGCTTCTTTCAAAAACTGATATTTTCCATAGTGACCTATGATGGCTCTTGCTGAACAGCAGAAGTAGGGACTTAATCTTACAGTATTCTTAATCACTGTAATAGACCTAAAAGCAGCAGTCAGAAATGTAGCAAGGACATAGTATAATGCCTTTTTCAACACTTTAGACCCTAAATACAAATTCTTATGCAACCTGGAAAAAAAACAAGTTCATTAAAACTGATATCTTCACAAATATAAGAAAATATACAAATAGTTGAAATATTCACAAAAATAAGAAATTATAAGAAACAAAAATTATTCACCTCTGGATGCATTAGTAAAAAACTGTCTTCCCAAACTGACGCTTCCTTATTTGCAGAAAACTAAGAAAACCAAAGGTCCCAAAATATCTGTACACACAAAGTTAAGAAGCCTGATCCAGAAGGATAAGAAACAAGGACAAGAAATATAGTAAATTATAATAATTTATTTTAGATTCACTAGAGGAAAATATACTTTTGTTTTCCACTTTTTAAAGGACATATGCTTTATTTGTATGTCATTACTAGCTATATACTAGCTAATTAATGAGAAGGAAGGACTCACTGGAGAAGAACCTAATGCTGGGAAAGATTGAGGGCAAAAGAAGAAGAGGACGACAGAGAACAAGGTGGCTGGATGGAGTCACTGAAGCATTAGGCATGAGCTTAAATGGATTCCAGAGGATGGTAGAGGACAGGAAGGCCTGGAGGAACGTTGTCCATGGGGTCGTGATGGGTCGGACATGACTTTGCAGTTAACAACAACAGTAGCTATATGAATGCTGTTCATGGCCTTTATTCAATTCTTTATTTCCTTATACTGCATAGACAGAATCTTACCAGGCTAAACATATGTTACTTCAATCTAATGGATAATTGGGAGATTCAATGGAGTGGTTATCCTAAATCTTTTCTTCTTCCCGTGATCCATCTCTGAAGTGTGCTGTTTCTTATCTTACCCCTTTCCTTGGAATGTATTCTCTCCTATCTGAGGAACCTGCTGCATTACTGGACTCACAAAATCACAAAAATGCAGAGAGAATTTCCAAATTCATCTTATCATTGCCTTGGAAATATCCTTAATGGTGACTAGGACAATATGCTAAAGCCAAGCCAACCCTACCTATTGGCTCCAACAGCAGCTAATGACTTAGTATTAACTGAAAGAAGAATCAGAAGAGAATCAAATACTGAAATCTCCAGTGGAAATGTTGCTGATCTATGCAGATTAATTTTTGCAAGCCTTCTTCTTCTTTTTTTTTTACTTACAGTGTATATTTTAGGACACTGTCTAGTTGAGAAGGTCATGCGACTGTATGATACAATGCAGTACAGAAAGAAATGAGAGCAAAAGAATAAAAGCAATTGTGTTTCTTTTTTTCTCATATCCTATGGGAACAGTTATATGCCAATGAAGTAAGCAAATATTCCTAATGTATTTTAAAAAACCTCTCCAATGAACACATTTCTAGTTAATACTGCACTATGATAGTTAAAATTGAATGCATAGTCTGATTCCAGCTCCCTATAAATAAATCTTTTCCTCCATCTCTTATAAGTATTTCTATTGATTTCAAAGTCAATATATTATTCACAAACTGTTAAGACAAAGCATGGCAGGATCAGAGCCTTATATTGTAACAATATGTTGTTTCCCACCTCTTTCATATATTTGACTAAGCTTTCAGATACACAAACATGCTGCTTTTGCCACTTGATAATTGTGATCTGAGTTACTTTGCTACAAGAGTAGTTTCTATATATCATACACAGAGGATCTCTGCAATCCCTCAGGAATATTTGGCTTCCTAACTTGTACTAGCTTTGAAGTAGAAGTCTCACTTAATTCTGACACACGAAATCCTTTAAGAAAACATTACAGATTTAATCAGAGATCTATTATATATAAATCTGTGTTTGCTTCTGTTTGTGTTGTTGAGAAAATGCTTTAAATTGTTAACATACTATATTAAATGCAGCCTCTTGTTTTCTCCCCTGTTGACAAACATTACTGCAGAATAACGGTTATATTGCAGTTTGTCAGTTTGCTTCTAAATCAAAGTACTGGTTATCACTTATAAAGTCATTTATGCATGGATCCTGGTCAGGGGTGGGTTCTACTTACCTTTACTACTGGTTCACAATGGGGCCGCATGCGCGCACACGCTCTTCTGCTCATGCGCAGAAGCATTTTGATAATGTCGGGGTTGGTGGGCAGAGCTTCCCGCTGGTTTTATTACCAGTTCTATAGAACTGGTGCGAACCGGAGGCAACCCATCACTGATCCTGGTTACCTTCTAGGGCCTAGGCCTTCTATGGTGTTACAATTCTACTATGTTTTAGATAATTGCCTGTTTTAGATAATTGCCTGTTATTGGTTGTTATATGACTAGCCACGGGAAGTGGTATTTAAATGATTGTAATAAATAAATGAAGAAAGAAATACTGAAACATATTGTAAGATACATGATATTTAAAAACAGAAATTGGAGAAGATGAAAAGCAAGCAAACAATGAAACAACAGGATTTTTTTTTTTTCTGTAATTGATAGATGGAACCCAGTTGATCTCAGTTCTAATAAATCAATTTCTGGAAAGGAAGGCTGAAACAATGTCCCTTCAGCTGCTCTTTTGTGAGCTGATGCAGTATCAGATTGGATCTCCTGACTTCTTATTATGGAAAACGAGCTATAAAACCTTCCTATGAACTTACGGTCTCATGTTCGAGGCAGGTCCAAAATGTCTTTCAGGTTTCCAATCTCAAAGTCAGCCCTTGGAATTATTCCAAGAAAAAATCATCACCTGGACAGTTTGTTCTTATCTTGCTAACTTATGTCTAATATTCCTTCTAATATTTAACCACAATTTATTTTACTGTCCCCTAGCCATTGCAAAGTCAGTTTAGTGTAGTGGTTAAGACGTCAGGCTAAAAATCAGGGGACTGTAAGTTCTAATTTCGCCTTAGGCATGAAGTCCCTCTCTCTCAGCTCTAGGAACCAGGCAATGGCAAAATACTGATACTTCTGAAATCTTGCCAAGAAAATTGCAGCGACTCATCCAGGCAATCATCAGGAATCAACACTGACCCAAGGGTACCCACCCCAAAAGCTACCATGCTTATTATTTATTCTAACATTGAATAAAACATAATCTTTTTTCTTCCTTTGTCCTTTATGAAATATATTAGAAACAGTGATTTAGATTGAGACTTAGATAATTCCATTTAAATCAGTGAGATTTAATTTAATTATGGATAAAACCCAAATTAATTTAAGCGATTGAAGTTCAGCTAACTACATCAAAACGTCTCCCAAAGTCTGACAAAAAAAATAAATAAATAGAAAAGATACACAAATAGTGCTGTGTTCAGTGTGCATCTGATTACCAGGAAAAACTGAAAGCTATAAAAACTTTGAGATACAGTCACTGAGCTTCAGACATCAAGATACAGAGGATTTTTTTAAAGAGCTACTTTCAGGGCATTAATTGATTACACATATAACCAACCTGATGAAAAAGCAAAAATACATTATGCATAATCAAATATATTCCCCAAGGTATATTTTATTCCCCAGTAGTAGCTGCTTTTATGCAACCTTTGCTATGACTATATATATATATATATGTGTGTGTGTGTGTGTGTGTGTGTGTGTGTGTGTGTGTATAGTTAATATTTCGGGTTTCTTCCCGTGTAATTGTGGATATATCCCTAAAAGGATATATATATTATATTATATATATATATATATATATATTATATATCCACAATTGCACGGGAAGAAACCCGAAATATTAACTATACACACATACATACCCGTGAAAACTTACATATATATATATATATTATATATATATATATATATATATATATATATATATATATATATATATATATATATATATATATATATATATATATAAACCCCTAATAATTCTTAGTGTACTTGAACCTCTGAAGCAATTTTCCTATGTATTATTGATGTATGATATTAATAAAGGTTGGAAATTTACTATTTCTCATAACAATATTATCCTGTCATTACAATGCTAATGACAAAGGCCCATAATGTGATACATACAATAAGACTTCAGGGACCAGCTAGAGGAAAGATTTTTTGAGAAAATTGATGTTGCCGAAATAGGAGTCAATGGAAGGTGGGGCATCCCATTCTCCTACTACATCCTTGCCATGGTCACTACCAAAGCGGTACCTACTGGGAAAATGACAAGGTTTGTGTTGGAAAAAGACAAAAAACATCTTTACATCAATTCAGATAAATCCAAAGTTAGGTGGCCTTGGATGGAAATAAGATAAAGGCTGCATCATGACAATGGAAGCTTAAATAATGGTTTGTGAATTATCTTCAAGCCACAGTTAGGGGGATGTGTGGATATATGCTAAGAAAAATAATGGATTAATAAGAGGGGCATTGAAAACCATTTGCTGCGTGAATTAAGGTCAATATAGCTCCACCTAAAATGAGAGAGATTGGGAGTTGTCAATTCAGGTATCAACACTAAGCTAACCTTGCCTAGAGTTAAAGAATGGAAAGAACAATTAATCTACAGTATGAGTATTGATCTACAGGATGGTATAGGAATTACCAGATATTCTATTTGCTATAAGCAGAATTTGGAGTTTTGTATGAATATGAGAATCTAAAGGAATTTTGGAACTGTTTTTTTAAGAAAACTAACTGGAAATGTCATTGCA